AGACTTAGGCGCACGGTTTGGATGGTCTTTAATAGGCCAGTCACCAAGGAGGAAGTACAACAAGAGGTTTTCGATATGAAACCCTTGAAAGCCCCGGGCCCAGATGGTCTTCCAGCGGGTTTCTACCAACACATGTGGGACATAACCGGAGATAGCGTCTTTAATTTGGTCAGGGAAGCAATCAACACTCGTAGCCTTCCCAAAGGCTTAAATGATACCCTAGTATCGCTCATTCCAAAAGTTCGGGGTCCTGATACGATCAAGCAGTTTCGCCCAATAAGTCTTTGCAATGTAAGTTATAAAATTTTGACTAAGACAATTACTAAACGGTTGAAAATTATTTTGCCTCAGGTCGTACGACTGCACCAAAGCTCGTTTGTCCTAGGAAGGCAAATTTCAGACAACATAATTGTGTACCAGAAAATTATGCACTCAATGCGGGATGCCCGTGGCAAAAAGGGGCTCATGGCTATAAAATTGGATTTGGAGAAAGCATATGACAAACTATCGTGGGACTTCATTCAAAATACTCTGGTACATGCAGGTTTTAATTCTAGTTGGGTAAAAATTATAATGACATGTGTTTCTATGTCAAAGCTTGCAGTTTTATGGAATGGTGAATGCCTCGACTAGTTCACACCTGAGAGAGGAATAAGGCAAGGTGACGCCATGTCCCCAGCTATTTTTGTTCTTTGCATAGAACGGCTCAGCCATTTAATCCTAGCAGAAGTGAACAACGAAATTGGAAAGGAATTCAGCTGGCCCCAGACGGACCAATTTTATCACACCTGTGTTTTGCTGATGATATGGTACTTTTTACCGAGGCTTCTGAAGAAAAAGTTGAGGTTGTACAACGCTGCCTGGATTACTTCTGCAGAGTGTCAGGACAGAAAATTAGTCTTAATAAATCACAAGTTCATTTTTCCAAAAACACACCGACAGATTTGGCAACCAAGATTGCGAGCAAGCCAGGCATTGAGGAAACAAAGGACCTGGGACGTTACTTAGGTGTACCCTCCCTTCATGGTCGGATTACTTGCAACACATATGCAAGCCTTTTGGAACGGATCGCTAACAGATTGGAAGGATGGAAAGCTAAAACGTTGTCTCTAGCTGGGAGAATCACTTTGGCGAAATCCGTTTTAAATGCAATCCCGGTCTACACCATGCAGACGGCGGCACTCCCGAAAGGGGTTTGCGCCGAAATTGAGAAAAGAACCAGGCGCTTCATTTGGGGTAGCAACGATCAAACGGGGGGAAGCAAAATGAGCTTGGTAAATTGGGAGCTGGTTACTACGGGGAAAGCAAATGGAGGCCTTTGTTTGAGGAAACTGCATGAAATGAATGCGGCTTGCATGGTTAAGCTCTGTTGGCGGTATCGAACAGAACCCACAGCCCTTTGGGCAAAAACTCTGGCTACCAAGTATAATCATAGGGTGGGCGCTACGATGGACATCTTGAGCAGACGTAAGATTTCAAACGTTTGGCGGGGTATGTGTGGCGCCAACAACAACCTGGAGAAAGGAGTCATGCGAATTATCAGGGATGGCAAATCTACGAGGTTCTGGATGGATAAGTGCCTGACCACTTATCCTTTGTATGATAAAATGCTCCATCCTTTGAGCCTTCCGGAATTATACGCGAAAAGTTGAGGAGTACTGGGACCAAACCAAAGGTTGGAAATGGGAGATTCTGGAGCAGTCCCTACCGCGGGAAGAACTAAACAATCTCGCTGGCTTTGAGTTAACAGAATCAGGCGTCCCTGATGAGTGGGGTTGGGGGCCGGATCCTCGAGGCCGGTTTTCGGTGAGATCAGCTTATGCCTTGATAGACCCCTCTCATGATGGGGGAACTGATCGAATGTGGAGTACCATCTGGACTTTGAGGGTGCCAGCCAAAATCTCCAAAGATTTTAACAAATGTTGAACGGGCGAGACCCCACCTTACGACTAATGACGTTTCTTTTCGATGTGCAGGTAAGAGGGAAGACATGAACCACCTGTTTAGAGACTGTGAGGCTGCTAGACCAATCTGGGAAAACTCTCTGCACTGGCGTGTACGGGAAATCCTACGCAGCTTAGACTGGGAGAACTGGTTCGCAGTAAATATCCGAGGAAGCGTGAAAGACGGTTTTACGGAGGGATGGCCAGAAACGTTTGGTATCAGACTTTGGTGGATTTGGAGGTGGCGAAACGAGGAGGTTTTAAATACTGTGGTCGACCAAAAGGTAGCTTGGCTGCAATGTTATGATCATGAAGTGCTTGGGGCTTTTGACAAAAAGCAGGCGACTCTACAGAGCCGAAACATTTTTATTGATGCATGCATTTCTTGGAGCAAGCCGACGGCGGGCTGGTTCAAACTAAATGTTGATGGCAGCTTCAAGCAAAATGGTGCAATGAGCTGTGGCGGGGTGTTACGCGATGCACATGGAGATTGGTGTAGGGGTTTCTCGTTCAAGATCGGTAGATGCTCGGTTGAAGCTGCGGAGGCGTGGGGTGTGGTGCAGGGACTTCGAATGGCAAAAGCATATGGTGCCATGAGGGTCATAGTCGAATGTGATTCAAAATCCATGGTGGAAAGCCTTTGTACAGAGGAAGGGTGGAGACGCCAAAATCATAATATTGGCAGGCTTTGTGTGCGGGAAGCATCTAGTCTGGTGGAAGTGAGGTACAAGCATGTCTTCAGATAGCAAAACCGTGTTGCAGATAAACTTGCGGAAATGGGAGACTTGGCTGGCAATGGTCTATGGTTTTTTGAGACACCTCCGCCTCAACTCATGGAGTTAGTCACCCTTGATAAGATTGGTGCAACTTCTACACGTAGAGTTCATCGGGCTGTTTATGCCCATAGGGTGGTTTGATCTGTCTTTTTTCGGGTATCCCCCTCCATTTCAGATATAAAAAAAAAATTAATATAGAAAGGAAAATTAATAATTTCAATCCAAATATTAAGAATAAAGTTTTAAAATAAATATAATATACTAATTAAAATTCATAATTCATAATAAAATTTAAAGTAATAATACAAATATAATAGCTAACCTTTTTTCAAATAAATATTCTAGTTACTGTCAACCTAGTATATTACCGTGAATTGTAATATGTTGAACTTCAATGACAATCTAGGATTCGAAAGAGTCATACTCAATATAGGTATTAACACCGTAATACCAACATGCTTACTTGTCATTATTTGAACCATACTTCATTTATAATTGGACTCCTCATAAATATAAAAAGGAGAAATTAGATATAAAATCAACATAGTTCTTACATAAAAAAACCTTTTTAAATGAATATTGTTTTCATAATATATTAATACTTAAAATTTAATATGACTAATACTTCTTAATATACTAAAATAACAACAATAGCTACAGACTTTAGTCTGTGCCTCGCATAAAAATTACACTACAAGAATTTTAATATTTAGCGACGATTTTTAAACGTCAGTAAATATAAAAATACGTCGCCAAATGTCTTTACTGACGAAATAAAAACGTCACCACGACCGTCGGGTTAGCGGCGTATGGAAAGGTATTACTGACGATGTTAATTTTTCGTCACAAAATATTACGATTACTGACGTTTTTGCATGGTCTTGATAATATCATTGAATACATACTTTTTGCAACGAAATATTAACAAAAACGTCGGTAATAGTTTGTGACGAAATAAAATATTTCGTCAGCAAATGTGTCTTTACTGAAGTTTTCCATACAATTATGCTCGTCATTAATAAATATATTTGGTGACAAAAAATGAAATACGTCGATAAAATAACATTTATTGACGATTGTGTACATTATTATACGTTTAGTAAAAGTCATTTACTGACGTTTTTTCCGTATTCATTTTTCATCGCAAAATTTTATATTTAAAGATATTTGCAATATTTTTACCCTTATTGGTGATAATTTACATATACTTGTATATAGAATTGTTTACACAATAGTTTCATGTAATTGAAAATAAAATATTTAAGCATCAATTAAATGTTCAAAATAGAAGAATATTTTTCATAATATGTAATCAATTTCCATTCTAGTAGTATACTCCACGAAACTAAAATTTATATAACAATAAAAAAAATTCTAAACTTTCGTTATATCTTCAAATGTTGGTATGCCCCTTGAGTTCTTTTAACACTGAGTTTCGCATTCTGAAAATGTCATATTTCCCATTGAAATTGGATGGCCAGGCCATTTCATCCACTGAAGCCTCTTGAATCTGTCATCTTCATTGCATTCCAATCATATTCTCCTCACACATCTTCCAAGCAACTACAACCCGAACTCGAACCAATTTTCTTACAGCTTCCAAATGAACCACAACTTCCATATTCACACTAACTGGACCCTGGAAACTAAAACTGCAACACATTTGCCATTTCTATAAAAATAAAAACAAAAATTCGCTTTGTAGAATGCTTGTGTTGTATTGTTGTCAACAACTAGATTGAACAGGACATAGTCAAGCACATACTTAGAGAAGACCCAATCCACTTAACCTATTGTTTAGTCTAATTTCAAAGCATACTTTAGCCACCAGCTAAGCAACACCATTCTAGAAGATGTCACATGTTCATTCAAGCAGTTGTGACCTTATATGCCTTTGTGCTTATGATCCTATCCACAACTATCATTGCAACGTTGGATCAGAATTCAAAATTATGATTCCCCATGCTTGAGTAAAAAAACAAACACAATGAATCTACTTGGCCCTTTTGCCCCTTTAATAGCATAGTTGGAGCTTGTTCCTAGTTACAAAACTTAATTCATTGCCATGTACTGCTTTTAAAATATTTTCAAATAAATGCAAAATGTAGACACATAAAAGAAAGACCTGAGAAAGAACTAATGATTATGAGAATATCCACAATCAAATTGCAAAGCATGATATACTAGTCTATTTGATACTTCAAATTATATTTTACTGGGCATTCTTGTGAAAATATACCTAGGGGCATCATTAAAACAATCAGCGCAAATTCTGACAGCAAATGAATAGCAAACTGTGGTAAGGCCTGAAAACAATGAACCAAAAAAAGAAGAAAGATGAGCTACCGGAGAAAATTTACATCCAGACAGATTAGAACATACACATAATTCTGCAGTACATACCATTTGATTTGCTAAGTGTTCAGCACACAGAGTTCGCCCACAACACCTGCAATGATGCTACAAAAAAAGAACCCAGAGAAAGGTAAGACTCAAGGCATTGCATACTGAAAAGATAGCATTCAATTATTGTAAAATCAAATTAGAGTAAGAAATTAGGAAAGAGAAAAAGACACGAGCATGTGCACACCCGATGTGAGTTCATTAGCATATAATGCATCACAACTTGATTAAAAAGTAAGTAAAATTTATAGGTTACGCAACACATTTCCTGATTTTGTAGAAACAAAAGCAAGTGTAATCTTATGGTAGTAATCAGGATTAGGTACTACCATATTACAGAGTATCTTATTTTCATACAATTCTAAGAGACGTGCCGTTGTCTTTTCAGTCTACTAGAAGTCTCAAGAAAGGCTTTTCACTTGGTTTCCCACTAAGAAATCTGGGATTCATCATAAATTCCCATCTATATGGACTCAGCAGCCAACCTTGAAGGCTTGAAGAAGGTAACACTGAGTGAAGTTGATCTTTACAACTAAAAACATACCAGGAAAGCAACACTGTAATATAAAGATTTTACAAACTTATTAAATCTGAAGGGACTTTCGACATACAATGCCCTATGTGCCATCTACTCTTGTCTTTACAATAAAAAGTACCACTCTTTATCAGAAATACTTCCCTCTGCAGCATAGGTTGATAAGCCACCAAAACAGTATGTACTCATATCCTTCCAAAACTTGCTTGTTTAAAACAATAGAAAAGCTAAAGTTAACTAAGTAACCAATCCTCAACATCCAACTAAGAAAAGGTAAAATATATCGAATCAAAGGAAAGGGTATTTTGTCATGTCTACCTATTTGGGGATGAAAAATCATGAATCAATATGACTCTAACTGAACCTTGGATTTGGAAAAGTACAGTTATTGTCTTGCTGAGTTCTCAAACTTAGCCCTCTCCCTACTACTGCATACCAACTTTACTAAGACAATAAAAGAACAACTTAAAAACAATCTAGAACACGTTGAATTGTATAACGCTAACTGCCTAACTGCATACGAACTCCCCAATTGTTAGGTATTTTCCAAAAAAATAAAAAATAAAAGGAAAAAACTTCTCACATCTGAAGAATCGGTCCATGTCTCAATTCCTTTATTAACAACCAAAAAGCAGTTTCCATCGCACAAAATGCATATGCAGATTGGATGGAGAGGTAACTTCACTCCACATCAGAGTGATCATCAGATAATATCAGAAACGGCTTTAAATGAGGAAAATTAAAATAAATAAGCAATTACAACGTACCCGCCGTCGGAAGGTGCTAAAGCTACACTTGCACAGTTTGGTATGTAATTTTAATCAACATTGTCAATAAATATTCATGGCAGAGTGCCAAGGCACATTGCACAGAGCACAGAACAATTTGTTGCAGAAAGGGCACTCTAAGGGCAGTAGAATTTCTCCGAAGCCGGAATTTGGGATTCACATAAAATCATAACCACAACTTTTACTATCAAAATCTCAATCTTGTAAGGTTCATTCACAGACTCACAACCATAATTCTTCTCTAAGCTTCATCTTTGCTGACTTCTTCCCTAATTATGGGCAAATTTCTCCTGATGATATGATCCTATAGATGATTCATATAAATTCTGTATCTAGAAACCATAGCCCATGAAATTTTTCTTACATGTACTCATCTACCACATTTGTCAATTAACAAAGTCAAAAATAGAAAGTCATTAGGAACAAAAGTCCACTCACCATCTCCCCAACTTTAAAAATGATACTACATAATCTAAATCTTGAAAAATGTAGTTATACCATCTTTCTGAAGGCATAGAGACCTGATTACCTCAAAGAATGGGATTAGAAGGAGATCCAGGTAAGCCTTCCAACCTCATTCGTGAACTTGTGAATCCCTCCCCATCAAGTATGTTCAAATCTGGAAAAAAAAAAACCTAGTATGAATTTAAAAAAAAAAAAAACGACTGACCTGGTGTCAAAGCAGAAGCCGAAACTCACCGCCGATGCTGATGCCGACGAGAACATCTATAGAAAAAAAAATTTTCGCAAACAAAAAACTATAGATCTGAAAAAAGAAGAAAAAACTTGAGAGAAGAAGAAAATACAGATCAGAGAAGACAGGGGCATGGCGGTGGAGCGTGGCTGGGGCGCCGACGGCCGGCGGAGAAGACAGATCTGAGAGAGTCGGCGGCTGTGACGGTTCGCAGTGGATCTGAGAAGAGAAGGTAGAGTGTGGCGAAAGTAATTTTTTCTGTAAGCTTGGGTCCCTTCTAATGGTGGTGGATGTGAAGTTGGAAACGGCGGTCTTGTAGTGGAAATCATGGTGGCGTTGCAATGGAAGCTGTGTACTGCATACTGCAATCGAAGCTAGTGTAGAAACATGTGAAGTTGATTTTTAGATAGATTTTTCTTGTTTTATTTCTTAAGAGCGTATTTTTTATGGCGCCAAATATTAAAAAGTTCCTGCAAAATATTTTTATTTTTCCTGACGTTTTGTGATAAAATTAATTTTTAAAACAAGACATTTAGGACGTTTATTAAAAAACGTCATTGATTTTATATTTTTACTGACGAAAAAATTGTATTTCGTCAGCAAATATTATATATAAAAATTATTTTCTCTACAAAAATATATAGTGACGTTATTTAATATAACGTCACAAATTGTAATATTTAGCGACGTTTTCTAGAGCGTAGTTAAAATTTTCGTCGGGAAATGAAAGATTTCTTGTAGTGTTTAAATCATATAAAATATAACTTTTTACTTAAAATAAATCCTATCTACTAAATTTGGCCGAAACTATACATGTATTTTGATATACATTTTGTTTTAACCCAACCAAGAAGCCCTATCCATAACCCAATCCAAAATCAGTAAAATCCACATATAAAACCAGAGTATTCTTCGAATGAGTGGATAGTTTGTATAAAAGCAAAATAAATTATTTTTAATAACTAAGTCTTCATAGTATAGTTGCAGTGCGTTCGCTTTGTAAGAGAAAGGTTGTGAGTTCAATCCTCACTAGAGGCTCTTACGAATTATTATAGTACTAAAAAATCATAAGATACAATATTACTAATATATAGAAAGGAAAATTAATAATTTCAATCCAAATATTAAGAATAAAGTTTTAAAATAAATATAATATACTAATTAAAATTCATAATGCATAATAAAATTTATAGTAATAATACAAATATAATAGCTAACCTTTTTTCAAATAAATATTCTTGTTACTATCATCCTACTATATTACCGTGAATTATCTTCTATTGAACTTCAATGACAATCTAGGACCCGAAGGAGTAATACTCAATTCAGGTATTAACAGGGACGGAGCCAGGATTTGTTGGCGCGGGGGCCAATTACAATTAAACTAACTAAAAAGAAAAAATAATTACAGTACAGAAATTATGAATCTACAGTACAAATATTATGAATTTCTAATATAGAAATTATGAATCTACTGTATAGAAATTATGAATCTATTGTATTTAAATTATGAATTTACGGTTTAAAAATTATGAATCTAAAGTATAAATTTTATGAACCTACAGTATAGAAATTATCGATCTATAGTATAGAAATTAAGGATCTACATTACAGAAATTATGAATATGGAACTGTGCCCACCTTGTAAGGTGGGCACATGCTCACATCATAACATTTCTTTGTTTGGAGGGGGCAAATACTTTGGTATTTTGGTGAGATTTTGAAAGCTTATGAACTTTTGTTTAGAGGGGAGATGCTATGGTGAGGGGGGCCAAACAAAAAAAAAAACAATATACTAGTAGTATTTTTTTTTTTTTTTTGGGGAGGGAGGCAGGCCCCCTACAATGACTATATACCTCCGTCCCTGGGTATTAACAACGTAATACCAACATGGTTACTAGTCATTATTTGAACCACACTTCAATTATAATTGAACTTCACAGATATAAAAGGGAGAAATTAGATACAAAATCAACATAGTTCTTACATAAATAAACTTTTTTAAATGAATATTTTTTTTCATAATATATTAATACTTCAAATTTCCTCCCAAAAAAAAAAAAATATTAATACTTCAAATTTAATAAGACTAATAGTTCTTAATATATCAACATAACAACAATACCTATAATCTTTAGTCTGTGCATCGCATACAAATTAAATAATATAAAATATAACTTTTCTATTTAAAATAAATCCTATCTACCAAATTTGGCCGAAACTATACATATATTTTGATATACATTATGTTTTAACCCAACCAAGAAGCCCAATCCATAACCCAATAAAAAATCAGTAAAACCCCACATATAAAATCACAATCATTATTGAATTGGCCATGGTCTACACAATTGTACGGATCATAAATAAAAAGTACATATTTAATGTACTAAAGGACATTATTTATGTACGTAAGGTACATTTTGTGAAAGTACATTTTTAATATATTAAGGGTACATTATTTTATATAATGTACATTCAGTACAAAAATAATCTATTTTTAATATATTAAAAATGTACTTGATGTTCATGGTCCACATAATGTATCTTCTGTACAAAAATAATGTATTTTAATATATTAAAAATGTACCTTATATTCATGGTCCACACAAATTGTGTGGACCATGAATATCAGGTATATTTTTAATATATTAAAAGTACATTATTTTTGTACTGAAGGTAAATTATATAAAATAATGTACCCTTAGTATATTAATGTATTTTTGGTCCACAGACAGTTCGCGAGATTGAGGGCATGGTGTCCTCGAAGAAACCCGACTTTGTATTTCTCATAGAAACCAAGGTTGACCGTGATCATGCGGAGCGTCTTCGGGTTAAACTTGGTTTTGATGGAATTTTTTGTATTGACAATTCTGGTTTGAGTGGTGGATTGGCTCTGTTGTGGAGAGCGAATAATACGGCGAGATTGATTAGTTATTCCACAAATTATGTGGATGTTGAGGTGACTATGCCGGGGTTTGAGAAGTGGAGAATGACTGGCTTTTATGGCTTCTCACAGAGGGGTCAAAGGAGAGATTCGTGGGATCTTATTCGTACCTTAGCTGGCAGATCGAATCTACCGTGGGTGATGATTGGTGACTTTAATGATTTACTTTATCAATCTGAGAAACGAGGTGGAAACCCTCATCCTCTGAGTTTACTGCATGGATTCGGTGAGACTATAGAGGAGTGTGGATTAGCGCAGATGCCAATGATGGGATATCCATTTACCTGGGAAAAAGGAAAAGGCACACCGGATTGGATTGAAGAAAGATTAGACAAGGTTTTGACTAGCCAGAGTTGGCGTGAGATTGTGCCGGATGCTAGTGTGCAAAATATATTAACCCGAAAGTCCGATCATTCTGCTCTTTTCCTTGGGATTCTGAATCTTCGGGAAAGGACGGGTGGTCTGAGAAGAGGGTTTCGTTTTGAGATGGCATGGCTACATGATGAAGGATGTAGGGATGTGGTGGACAAGGCATGGAATGAAGCCGCAGGAAGGGGATTGCAGGAACGTATCTCTATTTGTGGAGATCGTTTGTCGCGTTGGGGAGGAGAGCGTTTTCATAAGTTTGGGGAACGGATCAGGAACCTGCGGAAGGAACAATTGCGCCTGAGGGGGTGTAATGATCCGAGCTCATTAGCTGAGTTCCAACGTTTGGAGGAGTGCCTATGTCGTATTGAGGCCCAGGAGGATACATACTGGAGGCAGAGAGCCAAGCAGCATTGGCTTAAGAACGCGGATGCTAACACGAAATACTACCACAGGTATGCATCTCATCGCAAGAAAAAGAATACTATTTTAAAAATTATGAATGATAGTGGGGATTGGGTGGAGGGTGAGGCCATGAGGAATGTTATCTACAGCTATTATAAGACTATCTTTACCTCCGACTCTCCAAGTGATAGTGGGGATTTCTTTGGAAATATAGCCTCTCGGGTAACACAAGTACAGAATGAGTTGCTCTTGCGACCCTTTGATGCTAGTGAGGTCAAGAGTGCTC